GATAACACCGCCAAATGTATCCCCACGAACGAATTCCGGCAGAATCTGATAAAACTCGGTCTCAATCCATTTTGTAAGAACTTTGCTTTTATCTCGGCGCCGTTGGATAGGCCAAAACACCTAAATTTGTATACGTTTATCGTCAAGCCGAAACTTGGCCAAATTCTATTTATATTCAATCTAGCTGACGCTGTATGGGTCCGATAAGGCGCTTTCTTTTATTAAAGAATACTGGCTAATGTATCATTCAAATTAGCTTTGAAGGACTTTTAGTTCAACAAGTTCTTATAAACATTTATAACAATTGCATTAAATACTTTATCTTATATATAAAATTCTCGTATCACAATGTTTGCTACCATACTCCTCCAAAACAGCTTGGGCTATTTTTATGAATTTTTATATACATATTCAGTAGGTCTGACTACTATCTATTTTTCATACCCATAATATAATATGGTTATATTTCATTACCTATAAATACATAATGGTGTTCCACTCCTAACGTGTTTTTTTTATTTTTTGGACAGTTTTTTTTGATAATATGGCTTTGAAAAACATTTACAATCCTAAATTATCACTAACCCTTATTTTGTAACAGCGATTTTAATTTATATGGCAAAACAACAGTTGCGGAGTCAACTAGTATTCAAACCCGCGACCATCTAAGGCGGTGAACTAGACTACTAGGCCATCGAAGCCATAAAATTTTGTATATACTAATATTATGTTATTAAGATCTAATTTAATTTTTTATAGGATTTGTAATAATAACCTTAACAAAAAAATACTTACCAATAATACGCTATAAAAACTATATTGTCATTGTAAGCATATATTACTACTACCCGTATATTGCACGGGAGCAGCATCACAGGATGTAACTAGTATTTCAATCTAAAGAAACTTCTGATATTAAAATACTTTTTGATGATAACAGTTTATGTGGTCTATATTTAACGGTTATTGCCATCATTATGGTACTATATTGTAGCAGTGGCTGCTGCCGGTGCTCATAGCATCGCTGGCATAAAATTTTAATCATTAATAATGGTTTCAAGTAAACAAAGTAAATTTATTTAACATTGTTTTTTATGTATGACTAGCTACTCGGCCTGGTTTCGCACTGGTGTACATATATTATATATAAATCTTTCTCTTGAATCTCTCTATCTGTTATAAAAAATCCGCATCAAAATCCGTTGCGTAGTTATAAAGATTTAAGCATACATAGGAACAGACAGCGACAGCGACTTTGTTTTATACTATGTAGTGATGATGGAACGTTGCAACCACTTGTACTAATATTATACACTGACGGGGTAATAGTTGAGTATGATACAGATCAGTTGCACGTGGTTGCTATTTTACCAAGAATTAACCACGATGGTTTCCAGGGGCACCACGTAGAGGTCGACCCGACAAATAATAATTTTTCAATGGTTACAAAAATATGTTGCATGAAAATTACTCCCATTTTCATTTCAACGGTATTTTCAGTATAGTATGTTATTATACAACAACCGACATAAAATATACAATAGTGTTATATAATATTCAACAGAACCATCTAGCGAAAATTGTATACACCATTATAACAACTGACGTGAGAAAAGTAAGCAAGTAATTAATAAGTATGTGTACTCAGTTTGTATCTAATTTTTTTTAATATTTGGCAATGCTTCTTTAAACATAACCTATATTAAAAAAAAAACTAAAATTAATTCTTAATTATTTGCCATGAAAAGTATTAAGGATATTAAATTAAATATAAGAAAAACTGCCAGACTAGAGCAGCCCAAAATCACTTAAAGAGTTATGTATGTATATTCGAAGTTTTCTGCGTAATAGAAGTCAAAATTAAGACATATGCAAATATTACAAAAAAAAAATTGTATGACATTTCTATCTAGATACAGGTTCTGAGAAATAATAAATAACCGTCTACAAACAAACCTTAATAGGTATATTTCGTCAAAATATCTTATTTGCATTCATATCTATTATGTAGCTCTTGTTACAATGCTGTTATATCTGAATAATAAATAAATCTCCTCATGCATAAATAAATAATTATCATATAAAGAAAATATAAATAAAAACTTGTTTATGTTATTTGTTCGGAACCTCGGTATGCGAGTCACCTCATAACAACCAACCTCACGATCTTTTTTTAGGTGGATTTGAAATTAATAAGTAGGTAATAGGAATGATACAAATGCTGAATCCATAAATATTATTAATATATAAATTTGAAAGATTGTATCTGTGATGCTAAACATATGCGAATGAAAGGTACAAAATTAAATCTCTCCCTAAAGTAACACATACACATAATAGATATTTTTTACTCAAATTTGTACACATTGGTAATTGTAGCATCGCGTAATATATTTTTAGATCCTTTAATAGTTTATTTTTATTAGTTTAATAGGAATACAATTATTTAATACATTGCCCTCGTTCCCATTGTATATATATGGTACAGTTTCCTGGTCATTTATAATACCTATTACTAAAGATTACAGTTGTGACCACTCGTTTGCATAATTGCATCATAATTATATTGTAACAGGTTATTTCAATGCCACTCTCGGTCAAGGATCTCCGTATATAAGAATCCCGATGATTTATAATGTCAAATTCTAAAAACTTCTAATAAAATTTTTAAAAGCTTTTGACATTCTCATTTGAAATAATTTAGATTTAGCCCCTTAATATTAACAGGACACTATGTCCGAAATCCAAAAACATCTGATTTTCAAAATGGATAAATAATTTTAAAAATAATTCAGCAATATAATGTATATTGTCTCCAAATTATTATTTTTAAATATAGTTTTGTAATATTTCGTATTTAATAACAACTGAAAATTTCATGACGAAATAATTATGTGACGCCTTTGCCTACAGACAGGAATTTCACGTTCATACATGTCACTTGCCATGTCATTTTATATCAGATGGGCCTTTTGTTTTACCTGGTACCTGGTACATAAATAACTGCATATGTTGGTCTACAAATTTGCATAGAGCCTCCTGCTAGATTATTTTAATTTTCATGGGAAAGAGAATGATTGATTACCAGCACACTAATCAATTATTGTATTGTATCGTAGTAAACATTAAAACCGCAACGTCCTTTTATTTCTTTAGACCTTCGTGAATGATTTTATATAAAAAACGATGTTGTAATTTTGAGATTCAAACCGGAATAAATTACACATGCTTACTTAAATAACAATAAAAACAAATGCCTAACTTAGCTGCCAAACAAATATTATTACCATAAGGTCAGTAAGATATAAAAAAATAGTAAAGTGCGAGATGGACGTGTACACTGGAGGTTCCCAAAAAAATATTGTAAAGGGGTTTTTAATGTACTTACCATAAAAATTACAATCACATTTATAAAATTATGTTAGATCATTCTTTTACCTACAAATAAGAAAATTTTTTTAAACATTGATGTAAATTCGTACTCTCTCTCTCTCCCTTATTGTTTCTTATGTTATGTTTATAATTTATATTGAAATCGTAAACTATACAATACTATACAAACAAACTATTTCCTACTACTATACTCGAAAGAATTTGTTTTGCTTCCGCTTTGTAGAATTTAAGAATTAATATTAAAAGTCTTACATAAATTACAAAAAATACCTACTATTCGATTTGAATTAATTATGAGTCTCTTATAAAGAAATTGAAAATATTCCTTTTTATTAATTTCCAACGTACCATCGTAACGTCATATTGTTAAGGTTTCATTTTACCTTCCTGGTTTGGAACTCTAAAAATATAAATACTTGCTTACAGACTTGTTAGACAAGACTCCACACGTTTTTGTCGCAAATAATGGAATGGACAAAAAGTGAAGGAAAATGAAAAATAAAATAGATGATAAATTACTACGTATTACCAGACAGACATTTTGAATAAAATCTCTTCTATTACAACAAATACTTTTTCTAAATGATATTATACGTTAAGTATATAAAGTGTGACAGTGTACAACAAGAGGTTGGAGGAGTTACAAAGTTCACGTAAAAATCATGAAATCTAAGACCTCTCTCACTCCAGGTGTGCTTATAAATTTACTTTATTATAATTATAGACACTATGTAATAATTCTTGTATTAAAATACCTAATTATAAGTATTAAAATGTGACGGAACGTGACGGTGATTTTAAAAAGTTTTTCTCTTATATTATGTATAAACGCAGACAGACAAACATTGGTTGTTGGCGCACGTTTGCCACGTGCCTGGTGTCCCAGGCGTCCATGGGCTACGGTAACCAATTACCATAAGATGGGTCATATGATGGTTTGCCACCGTAGTTGTATAAAAAAAGGAAAACATTCGTCCTTCAATGGTAGGCCATTCTGTAATTCACCATGGCGCTATAATAGGAAGGATTGAAGGATAATAGGACTGTATATGAGCACTCTCCTTCAGAAACCATAGAAGACAATGACGAAAATGGCACATCAACGTAATGTAGTAACCGGCTCTACTCTCTATGTCCCAAAATTATGAGGACTGACATGTAAAACTTTAAAATATCAGTACTAAATAAGAATTAGGTACTCACAATAACTGATCAAATATCAGGTTATGTGAACAGCACTCCACATAATGATCAAAATTCTTCATGCTTTATGATATTTTCTAATAAAACTAATACAAATTCGTAAACACATAACAATATAAATTGCCAATTTAAATTGATTGCTACTGCTACTGGAAATAATTTACAATAATAAATTAATTTAATAACATAAATTAGGCAAATAAAGAATACTTTTATGTTACAAAAACAGTTTGATGGGATTTTCTGTTTTAGTTTATCAATAGAATCTTTGAAAATTCGAAAAAACGAACAAGCTCTCAAATTAAAATTATTATTTTGCTTCTATTTATTCTCATTTATATATAAGTATAGTACATTAAACACGTCTTATGCGACCTTATAAAAACGTTGTTCTGATAAAAATCGCTTATAATACAGTAGTGCTTGGACACGCTCGGTTGTGGTCGTTCAAATTGACTAAAATGCGTAATCTTTTTTTATTAATATGCTTGTATGCTTTTGGCGAACTCGGAAATTCAAATTCAGGTAATTTTAATAATGTAATATGTTGATATTTTTTTACATTTGTATGTACATATTATTGTATAATGTTGTATATATTGTACATATATCCAATATTGTATTGATAAAATATATATTATAATTTCATTATTTTATTTCAAGCCTCTCGTTTACTTTAAATTACTGGACCCAAAGTCAGAATAGACCATATATCTCTCTTACCATATAACACTATCGATTTTTATTTGTTTGTGACTGGAACGCCAACAAACAAACGGGCCACCTAATCTTACCTCGGAAAAATTGGCATGGCGACCCACCCCGGAGGAGGTTGACGGGTATTACTGGACTCTTAGCAGCTAAAATCCCTAGTTCTCTTCTCGCTTTTGGTACCGGGGTCGGGAGATTGCGTCAGCATTATACCGCGGACCCGGTGCGGGTCCGGGGTTTTAAGCTGGTAAAAGTCCGGTAGTACCATTGTGACAAATCCCTTTGAAAAATCCGTCATATCACTCATATATTACCATGTCTAAGAATAGAGATGTCACGCTTTTAGCAACAAAATAAATCAGGCAGAGATACTCATTCACTTAGTACAAAGTTTTTTACTGGTATATCTTGGCCTTCTTTCTCCTTCTTTTTATTTGTATTATATTATTTTTATATATTATATTATGTATATTTTAATTATATATCTTTAATTTCAGTTCCATTTATAACAAAATGTAATTTGAGCGATTCAAAATGTTTGAAGAAGTCTACACAAGCCGCTATCCCAATATTTGCAAGTGGCCTACCAGACCTGGGTATCGAACCATTGGAACCAGTCCTCCTGAAGAAAGTGGATGCTTCGACCCCAAATTTAAACCTTGTTGCCAGTAATCTTCTTATTACAGGACTAAAGAATTGTATAGCTAAGAAATTATTGTAAGTAAATATTGATATTTATATATATATATTTTCACACCAATCTACTCTAAAAACTATTTCCAATTGAGAGATATGACGTACGTTTTTCTTAAATTTTAATTAAAATTTCATTAGGATCCTTACAGCCCTTTCGTCGGGAAAAGATACTAGAGAGACGTACACACTTTCGTTTTTGTAATAACATTAGTATGGGTAATACTCGTACTTTATTCATTTAAATATATAAATTTTATTCATTTTTATTCTAGTATCAACGATGCTAAACCAAGAAAGTTCTTATTTAAATTTGAATGCACGGCTGATTTAAAGGGAAATTATGAGATGAAGGGACAAATACTTATTCTTCCAATCGAAGGCAAAGGCAAAGTTCATTCGGCTATCAGTAAGTATATAAAACCATCAACATATATTATTTTTTATTTCTTTATTACTTTAGGGACTTTTGTTCATATTTCGTACGATAGTAATTAAGTTTAGTTCATAGTATCTGCAGTGTTGGAAATCACCTATAATATTTTTTTTTCAGCCTATTACAAAACCCTCTGTCACTTGTCCTCAACTTGCTTGTTAATCCTAGCCCAAAAAATCCTATTAATTTAAAAACAATACAATTTTGCAAATATGATGATTGGTCACAGTACAGTGGCAATACAGCAAATATATTGTGGTTATTAAACATTTTAAGTCCAAAAAATCTGGCATTTATAATGGGGAAACATAAAATATTATATATATTCCGATGGGAAAACTCGTAGTCTTTTATTTCATCAGTAGTCATTGTGACAGAGAAAGTAGTATTTTTAAATATATTATTTTACTTCAACCAAACAGTTCTTAACAATACAATTGCCTGCTTACGTTTCTAAAATATACATAAATAAATTTATGTTAAGAATTGTGTAATCATTTATGTTTGCCGCATCTTAAGTTTGTCAATGATTTTTTTATGAAACAATACGTAGAAAATTTAAGACCATACATAATATTTGACGCATAAGTGTGGTCTACATGTTAATTGCAAATAAATATTAGCATACAACTAGTATTTGTTATTCATTGGACCAATATATTATTATTTGTACGTTAATCATTTGTGACTGAGAGGTATTCAATGTCATATCTATCTATCTATGTAAGACATAAAGTCAAGGAATATATTTTTTCATCATATTATAACACTGTTTTTCCGTGTACACCTAAAATTTTATCATGTATTATATTCATTTACATACTATTAGCTACATGCCACTAAACTCCCCGTAATTTATGTATTAATCTAAAATACAGTCAGTCTATCTGCTTTCTAAATTTTATTCCAATTAATTCAATTCAATTCAATTCCGTTTCGACGTGTACTGGTAACAAACTTCCAAGTTTCTGACAAACTCACATATATATAATACTATCATTGTTCCATAGTATTGTCCGCAAAAAATCGTGTAGATATTATTGTATTATTTAATATAGAATAAGGTCTATCTATATACCAAATTTCGATCTATTTCATCAAATAGTTATAGCGTGAAACGGCAACTAATATCTATGATCACAAATGCGTTTACGCTAGCATTTTCTTAATACGCAATAAAATCTATTAATTATTTTCATTCTACCATACACTACATAGTATGTTGTTTTTCTGTAAGTAGCATGTTAGTAAACAAGTTTTTCATAGATATTATATACTTTATACACCATTACTTCGATAAAGTATTCTTATATATAGTTGTTATATGTATTATAGAGGAAAAATATTTGTATTACCTGCTTCATTCCTTATACGGATATAAATAATTTGAGTACAGAGTAAAAAAAAATAGAATTAGTAATCATATGTTATATAAACCGTCTAAAATACTTTTTTGTTACAAAAGATTATGACCACAATAGCCTCAAAAATAAAACGCGAATAAAACTACAGTTATACTTCCAATATTTATTTTCCTAAAAATGTAGCTGTGAATCGATGTCAAAATGTAGATTACGTATATTTCTATTTTTAATCTGTGGTTTAATTTATTTTTGTAGAACAGTGTCTATTGAAGGTTTTAGCACTATTTATATTAACCCTGCCATAATAAACACCGACCATCATTTGTTCATACTCAGCATCTTAAATATTTCATTTATGATAAATAATACTGAGACAGAGTTAATAGAAAATCATCTGAATGGGCACATCAGTCTTACCTTTTTCATCCGCCAAACAGCCATCGAATCTTCAAAACAACATGAATGAAATAACAAGTGTTACATGTTCAAGTGACTTCCGTGGTGTTCATATTACATGTATATGTCAGCTTAAAAAATATAAAGAATGCCTGTATAAAATGCGGTGGTTTTATACAGATATTTTTGTCTTTTGCTGCGGTCAGTGAACATAACTTTTTTTAATAGTGTAGTATGCATACATATCTTCCTTTAAATATCATTAACCATAAAATCAAAATGAAACAAAACTAGATTGTTTACTTGCTAAACTGGATGACATTATAAACTGGAATTGATAATTGCCTGGCATATGTCAGTGGAAGTAATGTAAAGCTTTTAAAAGTAATCCTTTAATACCTCTAGTATAATATTTAAAATTTATAGTCAATTTAGTAAATAAACATTCATTTCATTTTATTGTTGTCACTATTATACGCATTTAACAATGAATGCAAAAAGTTTTTTTAATTTCTAGCTTTCTTTATTATAATATAATTATTTTAATCGATTAATTTCGCTAAAACCTAATAAAATATTCCTTCTTTTTACCTATACTGACAAACAGTATAATGATAAATAATGACATCTCAGGACAACTGAAACAGCACCATCTAGATAAGCAGCGCTTGTGTTATGGGTACTATACGATTGATATAAATATATTGATGCATTTTTGTGTAAATACATATATAGAATAGAAAATCATTTATTGAAATAAACTTAATTTAAGCCCTTTTGAATAGTCAACATTTTTTTAAATCTACCACTTATTCGGAAAGCCGTCACATCACAAGAAGAATAAGCAAGAAACTAATAACAAGTAACAATATAAGAATGTAATATACACAGCAAACTAGACCAATACAAAAACTCGTACTCATGAATATAAATGTTTGTACCGTGCGAGGAATCGAATCCGCGACCATCGGAAATAAAGCGGTATACTAAACCGCTAGACTATGAAGGCCGTCTGTTGTCATTGTCACATTGCGGCGGCCGTGATGTACATGCGCTGCCATTTCTGAGAACTAGTGTTATGCCTTCACATCCTATTTTTCCATTGCCACGTCTTATCTTCGGGAAGAAGCTCAATTTTATTATTTTTAAAATATATATTACAGACAGCAACTTCGGTAGTAATCACTCATCTCATGTCATATATATCTCTATAAATATATAAGATATAATTCGGTAATAATTATATCTTATATATTTAGACGGACTCGTTGGTCTAGCAGTTTAGCACATAGCTTTACTTCCGACGGCCGCGGGTTCGGTTCTTCGCACGGTGTAAACATTTGTATTCATTAATATGATTGTTTGTATAAGGCTGGGTGTTTTATATGTATATTATCTATGAATTTACTAAAAAAAATCAAAGTATTTATATCAGTTCTAATATCCCAAACACAAGCTCTGCTTATCGTGGGACTAAATGGCGCTGTGTTAATTGTACAGGATTATTTATTTGTTATTATTTTTTTATGACATAAAGTGACAAGCTTATAGAAGTTAAAAATGAATTACTTGATCTCTACAAGTAATTCATTTTTAACTTCTTCATAAAATAGATACAACAAGTATAGGGCCGCTGTATGACCTTTGGTAGCAGTCACAACAAGACCCTATTAACAACTATATTATAGTTAACAAATGCAAATTAGGTATTTTCTAATGCAACTACAACTTCAATCGTTATTGAGAAAGCTTATAATTGACATTATTTGAACTATAGGTTTCTTCAAAGTAAATAGTTGTAGTCTATATATCATATGCTGTTATATACATCAAGAATTTGCTTTACAAATCTCCTCTAACTTTCATAGACGTCTCATGTTGAAGATTTGAGATTATTGAATTAATAGATTTTGACCGGTCCTATTACGCCCATGGCTTTTACTATTGCCTCTGCGTTTATATTCTGATGTTTCCAGGATTGATATCTCTTCATAACCTCGAATATAAAGATTTATGCGAATGAATATATACAATGTGTTATATTACGCCAACACTCTACTTTCCCATATTTTTTTAATAATTTCTATTTAGTACATTATATACTCATAAACCTGTTTTTATAATTCATTGTAACCAATGATAATAAGACATTATTATTTTCTTTTATTCCGCAGGAAAGATTGTTATTACCATTAACGGCGAATTTCATGACATAACTGGCAAAGATGGTGAAACATATTTGGAGATAAGAAATTGGAGTCATACCTTTGACCTCAAAGATAAATGTGATCTAGTTTTCGAGAACCTTTTCAACGGAAATGAAGTATTAGGTATGTATATATTATATTACCCGCTCAACTTTGTCTCCGTCACATTTCTCCCATTTTGCATTACTGCTCCGCTTCTGTTGATTGTAGTATGAAGATTGTAGTTGTAGTTGTAGCCCACCTCGCTAAACCTATTTAGCGACACTAAAAAACATTAAAATCGGTTCAGTAGATCCAGAGATTATCCAGAGATACAGTAATAACACATTAATTCATCATCACAATAATAGTTATCAAAATATCTACTGTATTGTCGTCCTGTTTACATATTTATGCAATGTTTTAAATTCAATCAATTTGCATTCTGTGAACTGAATAAATGCTATTTGTATAAAAAATTGGTCACCAATTGACGAGTAAATTAGTGAACATAAAATATATTAGGTATATGTCTTTAAGAGATTGCTTTGAGCGATAAGGCCGTCTTTTGTTAGCATATTTTTATATTAAATTCTTTTTTGTATATATTCTTTTATGCTTAATAAAGTGTAATATTTTTATTACGCCTTTACATTCATAAAAAATAATTAATTGAATCAGTAAGTCTAATTAATTATTTTCCACAGGTCGTGCTGCCCAAGATGTTATCAACTCAAGTGCCAACGATGTCATCTTTGAAATTGGCCCTCCCATTATAACCGCAGTTGTAACAAAAGTAGTTGATAGTATACAAACATTCTTCCATGCCGTGCCATTCAAAGACCTAGTTCTTTAAACTTATTTTTAAATCAAAAATATTTCTAATTTTCCTAAAAATTCCATAAAATGTTTTTCAAAGTTCCATTCTTAATATCACTTGGAAGTGATCGCTGAACTGTTAAGTGATAACATCTTAGTTCATTTGAAACGTCTACCAGAAATCCGTTTAGAAAGTTTTCCTGACTATTACCAGGTTCGGTATCGGCGTAGTATTTAAGTTTTTTTACCTACTATTAAAGTGCTCAATTTTACGTTCTTAATTTTTATTTTTTTTCATAAATATGGAGATCAATTACTATTCCTTAAGATCACGTTTCTTATGTTTTTATGTTTCTAGGTTTATATATATGTGCCCTTCCGTTAGCTAAAATTCAATAAAGCTTTTAAAGCACAATACTAGAAATATTTTTTAATATTATTATATTTATTAAGAAATAATTTAGACAAATATAAAAATAAGTGCACAATATTGTTTTGAAACTGAATCTATTCTGTTTATTGTATTTAGTATTCTGATATTTAGTCATTAATATTTTCTTTAATTTTTTTTAATATTTTCGTGTTTTATCAGCTTTAAAAATTCCTAGATAGCCAAATAAGAAGCCAAATAATTCTCTAATCATAATGTTATTGAAATTAAATATTATATTTATTTCAAGAAAGACAAGAACAAGTTAACAAAATTGCTGGATATTGAACTTTTTGCATGTGTTCCATCTATTATGTAAGTATTATAGCAACAGCCAATATTCGTGTATACGTCAAAATCGTCATCTACATCGCATCGTGTCGCTATGGTATGTTTACATTATCTAAAGCAGCAAAACCACTTAATTTCCATAATAAAATATTATATAATTTACTTGACCTTAACTTTGCTCATTGACACAAATATTTACAGCTACTTGAAGTAATTACGTTATGTGATGAGATCATCTAGTTATTTATTTGAATAATACATATTTTATGTTTACATTTAAACTTTGATTTAAATCATAATTATATATTTTTTTTTTAAATCGGTATGTTCCGTAATTATTTTTAAATTTATATATTTAATTTAATATATAAATAAAAACTGTACGAAACCATACCGGTTCCAATTTTAACAAAGTTAATATGAGACTAACATGGTTATGTGAAGCGGAAAGCCCTGAAACTTTTTAAATTTTCAATAAAATAAATTGGCGAAGAATTTAAAATATCAACTGCGGTTTTTTTCTATGATGTCAATTCATAAAAATAAATTTTAGCATTTTGTTTAATCAAGGAAACTTGATGTTATTCAAGTTAGTAAATCACTCCTTCCTTCACCTTCGAAACATCCTTCACCTTGATGTACCCTTGAATACAGAACTTGAACCTTACTGGACTGTATTAATTTTGCCTGCACTTCCTTGTTTATCCAATTGTTTACATATTATATGTATTTTGCCATACATTATTTACAATAATATTACACGAATACCTATAAGTATACATTACTATACGCCCGTTACATCTACATACAAACTAAATAATATTTCATTAAAATAATGACCATAAACACTGGACTATCCGTAATAAAAACAATAAAATTTGCATACCGTTGAATATGCATAATGCACATAATATTCCCATCCACCCTATAAATTTTATTATCTCCCCATGAAACTGTCGTCGGCGACTAAACACCGCGTTGGTATCATAACAAACCGTAAAAGAACAATTATTTCGGATCTTCACACAAGGGAGGACATAAAAATGTCAACACAACTGATATTTCGAGACACATGGTAGTATTTTCTGAAAAAAAAACAAAAGACAGTCACATCTCTAAATCAAATTAGCCATCAAAAATTAATATTTCTTTTAAATGTGTTTACTAAAATCAACTGTATTTTTAACCACCTACCTGTTACTAAACAGAAATCACAAATGAAAAATATAATTGAAATTAATTAGCTATTTTGAAATATTACAGTACTATAAAATATGTATAATAGTTCAAATAGACTCATCATTTTATTTTTTTTGAAAGTAAGCTTTGTTTTTTTAAGTTAATATGAATATATATTTATATTTTAATTTAATATAATTATTTTAAATACTATAAGCAGTTTACTCGGGAACTCGACCCCATTTTCTCAAATTCCCGTGGGAATTTCAATAAATTCGTTCATTAACCGACTGAAAAAACAAAAGATCTCTAAATCATAAAGGAGCCAATAACTGAATCATTATTTATAGTTAGATTAATAAAAACACTTAACTTCAATACCCAATTTTCCAGTAGCCAAATATAAGAAGACTTTATTACATTTCGTAATGGTATTTTCGAGAATCATGTGCGTTATAATTTTACTAGTTAACGATTTTATGCCTTTAAAAAAAAATGAAAATCGGTTCATTTTACAATTTGTGAACCGATTTTGATTTTTTTTTTTAAAGGCATAAAATCGTTAACTAGTAATGTTACGTGCACCTGCGGAGATACCTCTTGCTCGCACATTCCAAGGAGTTAGAGGGTTGGAGAGTATGTAAATATACCATGTGAATTATTGGTGAGTAAGAATCTCACACCATCGCTCTGACGATGGGACTGTCTTTGTAAAGATTTTCCACATTATATAGTGATATAGCAGTGAAATTACAGGGTACAGAGATATTATATCTTAGTCCTCCAGAATAGTTACGCATGAGTGGTACTATGGACGTGATGTGATACAGTGATGTACTTTGCGTTTTTCAAGTATACATATAGGTAACGTTTACTATTTACAACCAAGTGAAACCACTGTTAGCCATTCCGGTCACATAAAAACATGATCATAGCCAATTACTTTTGTGAAACAAAATCATAAATTATTTATACTTAATTAACCCTCAATTAGAATACTCCTAATAGGTCGTCTTTGTACCTGTCGATATTATTTTCACAAATAGACTATTAAACTCTTGATGTTATCTCCAAGCGACCGAGCTTATAAGGCATGCTGACTCAGCGGAATGTATGTAACGATTCACTGTGTCATTTATCCGATTGTTCTCTGATAGTTCATGGTCATAATTTGAAAATAAAGGATATATGAAACATCTATGAACAGATATTATATATATATATATATATATATTATATAAATTTCATGAGCCTTACCACAAAATTATATATTTTTGTAACTATGCTTTGAAATTAAAGCGTTGTAGTGTTGATTTGCCAAAATTTGTTTTTAAATTTAATTAGGGTTTTTTAAATTTAACGCAATATTTATTAAGAGTGCGACATCTGTACTAATGTAAAGAGATTAAGTTTGGATGTCGCGATAGTCTCCGTTATTACTGATCTAACTTTGAAAATATTTTTAGAGATGGATAGCACAATTTATCGTATAAGGCTACAAAATATCACGCTACGGCCAATACGAACTATGATGAAAAAGGTTGCAGAAAAGGATAAAATGCGATGCAGACAAAGCTGTGAGAGTCACCTATTATATAATATAAATCTATAAATAATATATAACATTAGATAAGAAATTTCGCTATATATTTCCCCACTGTTTGCATCTTTACTTCTTCCAAACAAATTTGGATATGCTGAATACAATTGCTAGCATTACTAATAATTTTCCCATGATTTTTTGCGATAGTAACCTCTTAGTTCTAGGTTTTTCATGTATGATAATAAAATAGTGCTTCCGCTGCATTAACGTTAGGCAGGGTATTAATAGAAAACGACAGGATCATGGGCATTAGCCAACATTATTTCCTGATGAATTTCCGGATATAGAACCTCCCTGATATAGTATATTATACATAGCAATGCACTAATCACCAATTTCATCAATCCCCGATCGTCAAGTATTCAGGGATATTGGCTAAAGCTGCAAAGAGTACTACATATTGAGAAAATGTAAGAGAAAAATGGTTGTCTAAATAATTATAACCTTCTAAAAACCATCGCGGTTAATTCCCGATGAATAAATCAGTCTGGCTTTTCCTGTCTCATTACATTCCTACATCATTCTCATCTTCGGCTTCGGCTGATACCCCGCCTACCGTTAATACAGCGATATCACCATTTTATTATCATCCATTAACAACTCAGATCCAAATAGGTGATAACCCAAACAAATCAGAGGGGAAGTGGATGGTTTGAAATTACTAGTAATCCCATTGCCAGTACTGTACACTGTCCTATCTTCACTCAATGGAAGCATCACGAGTATATTCTAGTGATTTTGTTACAATATGCTAACTGATCTGATCTGTTTATACTAACACAATCCTACCAAACTCTTAGCGCTGATCGGTGAGTGTACCAATCCATAATCGTCCAATACAAAAAACCCACGCAATTCGATGAGTACATAACGATCGGTCTCTATTTCATTTTATCATGTACATATATATACCAACTATATCACAATATGTTCATAAAAATAGAAAAAAATAACTCCCACATACATTAACATAATTTGTGCTGACCCTCGTAGTAATAGCCAGAAATTGGCATGTAAATGAATTAACTGGATCGTCACTAACTACCAATCAATAACAAACTGATTTATTCCCATAGGGCGATGTTATCACGAAAAAAGTTTAAGATAGAAATTCATTCATAAGCGGAGCGGATTACTAAGTCAGATGTATTAAACAATAATAATATTAACTAAATTAGCAACATATAAAAATATTTTTAAAATTATATTTGTGGCCTTGGCGGTTTAGTACACCACCTTACTTCTAATGGTAGTGAGTTGAATCTCGTACGATATAAATATATATGCATTCATGAACATGAGCATAATTGTTTTATGTATACATTTTTACATAATATTTAACCAGTGGTTTGAATTATCCCGGGTTATTGTTATTATTATTTATATATTTAGAAAGTACCACCATAACAATAGAAGTACATTACAATTCGAAGTAAAACATGCCGCTTATCGGAAGTGTTATGTGTCTCGTTCCCTGACAATAATCAAATATGAAATATGTCCATACATAAATATACAATTTAAGATAATGTCAATAAATACAGTAGTTAGAAACAATATTTAGAAATTGTAATTTTATTTTTATCGCCGACTCTCAGTTACAATGATCAGACCTTATTATTTCCAACTAGATTTGGAAATAGCTAACATTTTGTAGCCACGAGAGAGGGTAGGATGTAGTGACACGTGCCAAAAACATTTGAACGACGTCGCATACGATATTCGCTTGTAAAACGAGTAACGAATGATCTCATGGTCTGAGGGTGATT